GGCTTTCAAATGCGGGATCGAACCTACAACCCAGGCATGTGCCCTGTTGGGGAATTGAACCTGAGACCTTCCCGTTTGAGAGATGACGCCCAACCAATTGAGCCACACCGGCCGGGGCCTGTGGGTTTGTTTTTAACAGCATAAAACAGAGCTTCCCAGCCGAGCCCCGCCCCCAGCCCAGCCAATTCTCATCCAACTCACGTCCATCTTAAAGCTGCTGCATTTTGAGATGGCGTGTTGCACAGTATTTTTGTGGCAATAGGTATATACTTATTTTTTCCCACTTCGCAGTGTGTCTTGGTGTTATGGTATGAATATTTGTGTCTCCCCCCCACCCCGGAAATCCCCAAACTTGAAACTCTAACCCCCAAAGGTAAGTATTAGAAGGTGGGGCCTCTGGGAGGTGATTAGGCAGTAACAGTGGAGCCCTCTGTGGGCTGAGTGTCCCTGTGTCCCTTCCACCATGTGAGGACACAAGAAGTCTGCAGTCCGTCCCCATGAGGGCCCTCACCTGACTGTGCTGGTGCCCAATCTTGAACTTCAGGCTCCACAGCTGTGAGCAATGGTTTCTATCGTTTATACACCGCTCACTCTGGGTTACAGAAGCCCAAAAGAACTAAGACACTGGGCAATTGTCCCAAAGTATTGCATATGGGTTCGGTTTATCCTTTTTAACAACTGCATATTATTCCCTTGGGGATGGCTCATCTTTTATCCATTAATATAAACATTAAAAAAACTTATTTATCTATCTATTTATCTTTATATTATATCTATTAATATAAAAAATCTTATTTATTCCTGCTAAAGCGGGAAATGGAAGGAGACGGAGAGAGAAACATCAATGTATGGTTGCCTCTTGTGCGTCCCCTGCTGGGAACTGGCCTGCAACCCAGGCATGTGCCCTGACTGGGAATCGAACCAGCGACCCTTTGGTTCACAGGCCCGCACTCAATCCACTGAGCCACACCAGCCAGGGCCGTTAATAAAAAAAATTTTTAAAGCCATTCACAAGATAAAGAAGAAATGAAAACATAAGTTATAAAGTATTTAGAAGTAACCAACAATCAGAGTACATGCCCTGATAGGTGTGCATCAGTTGGTGGGGTGTCATCCTCCAAGCAAAGGGTCACAGGTTCGATTCCCGGTCAGGGGAGTGTGATTGATGTTTCTCTCTCACATCAATGGTTCTCTCCCTCCCTTCCCCTCTCTCTGCAACTAACTAAATAAAATCTTTAAAACCGGTAAGAACAGTCTATTGCTGCATGTGACGATATGAATGAATCTCAACAAATGTTGATCAAAAGAAATCAGACCACAGAGACAGCATCCTGTACAATTCTATTTATATGAAGTTCAATAACAGGCAGAGCAATGCATGGTGTTAAAAGGAAGGGTAGTGGTTCCTTTGGAAAAAGAGAGGGACATTGATTAGAAGGGAGAATAAGAGAGTTTTTTGGGGTGCTGGAGATGTTCTCTACCTTGGCCTTGGTGGTGGTTACTCAGGTGTACACATACAAAATTCATTTAGCCTGAGGTTAGGGCGCTTTGGTGAATAGTTATACCTCAATAAAAAAGTGACTTTAAGAAACTAAAACGTAAATAAATGTGACCACCCATTCACCCCAAATATAACATTTTCAATGCAGATAAATTTGAGCTCTAGCTGGTGTGGCTCAGTGGATTGAGCACCGGACTATGAACCAAAGGGTCACAGATTTGATTCCTAGTCAGGGCACATGCCTGGGTTTCGGGCCACGTCTCCAGTAGGGGGCGCATGAGAGGCAACCACACATTGATGTTTCTCTCTCTCTCTTTCTCCCTCCCTTCCCCTCTCTAGAGAAATAAATAATAAGTTCGAAATAGCAGAGTGGAAAAACAACAAAACAAAACAAAGAACTGGAATGCAACTAAAGCAGCACCTAGAGGACCATGCATAGCTCAACTGACAAGGATCGATTGGGAGGCATTGGCGGGACAGGAGGGAGCCGTGAAAGACTCCTGTTCGCCTGTCTGCCCCACCCCACACCACAGGGGCCTGACGGCCATGAACTCACAGCACTGCAGCAGGCCGGGCCTTCCTCTCCAAGGACCAGAAGGAGTGGGCAGGTCCTTAACCCTCTGGCTCTGGGGCTGGCTTTGATGTACGGACTACCAGGGTTGGAGGAGGAATTTGGGGGGTGGGTGAGAAGAGCCTTCAGGGGCCATGGGGGTGTAATACTGCTGCCTGCAGTGGCCCCTGAATGTGGCAACCACATCCTCAGGGGAGAGATCAGAACGGGGGAGGTGGTAGGAACCAGAGAGGGTTTGGGAGCGAGTTAGCGGGGCAGTGACGGGGCCTTGGGGGTGAAGGGAAGGGTGCAGGCTCTGGAAGTCTAGAATTCTGACTGTGACCTTGAGCAATTTCCTTGCCTTTTGCAGCCTCATTGTCCATCCTCTACAAAGTGGGGCTTCAGCACAAAGGGGCAGGATCGGGGAGGGGTTATGAAAACCAGCTCAGGGGCTGACCGTCTCACAACCTGGCTCTGCTACGTCTCAGCTGTGTGGCTTTGGGCAAATGACTTGGCCTCTCTGGGCTTCGCGTTTCCAGTTTGCGACATTTGCAGTACTCACTTTATAGGACCGTTGGGGAACTGGATTGATCGATACACAGGAAGTGCTTGGACCCTGAATCCCGACTGCTGGGCAGTGGGTACAAATTGTTGGGTCCTGACGACCCAGAGAAGGACTCTGGGTCGACGACAGAGTCTGACCTTTCAGAGAGGCCTTGACATTACTCTCTCCCAAGCCCGAGTCTACTCCCCACTGCACTGTGCCAGTTTGCCTCCCAGTTGTGTGACCTTGGGCAAGTCACTTAACCTCTCCAAGCCTTATGAGGGGACTATTACTGCAGAGAATTCTGGGACACTAAGTTTCCAACATTTCTGGCTTCTCCAACGGAAGCCATCCCAGGGTGGGGGCCTCTCCAAACAGCAAGGGCTTCTAATGCTGTGTGGCCAAAAAGACTGTCAAATGTCACCACAAGGGACTGTTAGGGGCCCAGGGGGCTGGGCCGTGCCACCCACAGGTTGTGTGATGCGCTGGATCCCTTGTCTCTCCTGCTCACGACACTCTGTGGCTCCCATGCCTCTCCTGGTGGGATGGAAATGTCTCTGCAGCCCCCAGCCCCCCACAGGTCTGCTCCCACCCCCTCTCCAGCCTCCTGTTCCTCCTCCCACTCTTCCCTCTGCCCCATCTGCTCCAGCCCTGCAGCTCCTCCCTGACTCTCCAAGAAGCCAAGCCACTCCCACCTCAGGGCCTTTGCACCTGCTGTCTGCCTTCTGCATTTCCCACCAGGCTCTCCCCCCTCCCCCCTTGGGTCTCTGCCCTCATGTCACCTCCCCAGAGAGGCCTCGCCTCAGTGTCCCTGCTGTGCTGTCAAGTGTTCCTTACCCTCTTTCACTTTCCTCCAAAGCCCTATTGCCCCTGACATGACGCCATATATCGACCTGGTCACTGTCACCAAACTGTCACCTCCTGAGGGCAGGGGTTTAGGCTGTTTTCTGCTGTACCCTCGGTGAGTGCTCGTTCGATAAATGTTACACTGACAAAGGCGTAATGATTCCAGATAAATGCATAACCGATTCCGCTCTGGGCCTCAACTTCCCTAACCGGGAGGGAGGCCTTGCCACTCTGACCTTGCCGGGAAGGGACAGGCGGATGGAGAGATCAGGCTCCGGGCTCCAAGGCAAAGTTTTCTAAGCTCCCCACCAGGAATTTGGGGAGATGGCAGAGAGGACCCCCTTTCCCTAGTTCAGTCCGCACCTGCCTGGGAAGAAATGGGGGCGATCCGAGAAGAGGGAGAAGCCCCGGAGGGAAGGGAACGTTCTCTTCCCTGCCGTCTCGGCCCCCGCCCCGCGCCCGCCCCGCTGCACTCGTGGCTCCTTCCAGGAGGAGGAGCACCTTCCCCGGTGCCTCCCTCCTCCCGCTACAGCCTCCCCTCCTCAGCCCTTGACGTCCAATCACGGCCGAGGTGCCGAGAGCTCGTGCTCCGCCCAGGTCTTCAGAGCCCGGGTCTGGGGGGGGCGCTCTAACCCGCGTCGCTGCCCTTCCTTAGGGGGTGGGCACAACCTCTCAGCCGCTGCTGCCCTTGTAAGGAGGCGAGGCCAGGGGACACCCGAGACGCCTGGTTATAATTAACCTGGACACGTGGCGACCCCACCCCCTAACACCTGCCCCTCCCCGGCCCCCCCATACCCAGCGCCCCGGGTCTGGGCCTTCGCAGAGGCAGGGAAACGCACGCTAAAAATAAACTCCTGTCCAGGGCGAGTCCTTCCCTGTCCCCTCCACGGCGGAAATCTCCCTGCGTCACTGCCACCAGCCGGGCCAAAGTGGAAGGGAGACCACGGCCTCCAACCCCGGCCTTGGGTTTGAACCTCAACTCAGCAGAGCCTCAGTTTCCACCCGCCCCACCCCCAACCGAGGAGAAAAGTGCATCGCAGCGCAGGCTTCCGGGGGGGCTGCGTTAAATTCCGACCTTGGCCTTGGTGTGTGCTCCCTATAGTTGGGTGACGGTGGGCAAGTCACAAAGCCTTTCTGGAAAACCGTATACCTGGCGCTCCTGGGGCCACTTGCAAGATTTCCCCAGGGGCGGGGCTCGCCACCTGCCAGTTTGCCCCGGTCAAGGCCACTGGGGGCTGAGGAGAGGCCTGGACACGGGAGGGGGCTGGTGGCCTTGCAGAGGGCCAGGGGAGGATGTCTTCTACGTGCCTGGGCCGGTTCCTGCAACTGTCCTGTGTCCCTGGCTGGGGGCCAGCTGATCCCGCCAGCCCGACTCAGCACTTGGTCAGGGGACCGGCTTGGTGGGGCTGCCCTGGGGCGGCCCATAGAAGGCCATGGGGCTGGGCGCAAGGCATGCCTGGGTTCGGAGTGGGCACGGTGCCCAGGAGGCGAGGTGAGAGGTTCAGCTGCCCTCCAGCCCCCCTCTCCGGAGGCAGCCCCTCCCAGCCAATAGCACAGCCCAGGCCCCACCTATATAAGGCCAGGGCTGCAGGCTCTTCCTTCGGGTCAGAGTTGCCTCACCGGTACGCAGAGCCCCTTTCAGCGCAGCCCAGACAGGTACCGCCCGCGGGGCAGTCGGGTGGGGTCGGGAGCGGGGGGCTCCTGTGGGTGCCAGAGGCTGGTCTGGCTGCAGAAGGGGGCCTGCGTGTCTGCACCCACATCCTCCTGCACGCAGGCAGGTCAGTGTGTGGGAAGGTCGTCCTGGCGTCGGGGAGTGCCCCCCGCAACCTGTGAGCCCCCAGCCCCTGCTGGGACGCGTGACACAGGGTCCTGGGGAGAGACCTGGAGACAAAAGCAGCCCTGACAGCTGACAGCTGTCCCCCACTGCGAGGGGCTGTGGGCCCAGCTCACATTTATAAGAGTTTGTCACCAGAACCGGGCGCCACAGCCGTGGGGCTGTATCTGTGTCACCTGTCAGGGTCTGTGAGAGCCGGTGCTTGCAGGGTCTTTGCCTGTGTGGCCATGCGGGTCCCTGTGGAGTCTCACAACAGTGCGACCTTGTGTCTGCCTGTCTGTCTGTGGCTCCTGCGTGGGTGCCTGCATCCTGGGTGTGTCCCTGAGCTTGGAGGTGTGTGCATGTGGCTGTTTGTGGTGATGTGTGTGTGTGTGACTGTGTGTGTGCGTGTGTGTGTGTCTGGGGCTATTTTTGCTTGTGTCTCCTGGGCTCACCCACCCCGTCTCACTGCCCTCTCCCAGCAAGTCCTTAGCAGGGATGGGGGTGGGTACGCCCTAGGAAGGGGGGTTTCTGGGCAGGAAGCCCAGGAGCCCCGAGGCCCGATGCCTGTCCTCCCTGGCACACCTGTCTCCGGCTTGCTGACGTGGTGCAAGCCGAGCCCCTGGAATTCGGGGTGTGTGGAGGGAGCATGGCAGCTGGGTTGGGGGGGAGGGGTTTGCCAGACTCTAAAAATAATCTCCCGCACTGGACAGCAGCTCCAAGCGTCTTTTACGGCCTCCCAGCCCCCTGGCCTGGTGCCTCAGCCTGCAGCTTACCCTGGTCCCAGCCTTCCCACCCTCCTACCTGCCCCCCAGCCCTGGAGATGGGGGTGAGCGCCCCCACGCCTACCATCACTGCTGAAAGGTCCTTCTTTTCTGGGTCTCGCGAACAAAAGTAATAATAACGATAACAGCAGCCACCCCGTCTAGGTATGACTCCACGCCAGCACCTGAGCTCAGCCAGCCACATGCCCCGACTCAAAGAATCCTCCCGGCCACCCTTTGGGGGAGGCTCTGTTCACAGGTGACAGAGGCTCAGAGAGGCTTGAGCCACTGACCTGGGGTCGCACAGCAGGGGAATGGCGTGGGTGGGATTTGAACCCAGTTCTGTTAACCCCACAGGCTGAGGTTTTCTTGCCAACGGGGCGCTGCAGGAGAGGCATCAGCGCACAGAGGTGGGCACAGCCACCCAGCCCGCCCTTCCGCCCTGCCCCTCAGCCCTTGACTGGGCACCCAAGACACTGAGCCTTCCCTGCTCACACCCCTTCCCAGCAACACCCTCCACCTGCTCGCCAGGTCCCCACACGAACCCGGAAAACAGCGACAACAGCAATAATAATAGCTGGGCAAAATAAGCTCACTGCAGGGTGGGCACTATTTCAAGTGCTTTAACCTCCCAACATCCCCTTGGGGCAAGTGCCAGTATGACGACCCCTGCTTTACAGAGGGGTCATCGAAGGCCCAGAGAGGCAACACAGCTTGCCTGAGGTCACCAAGCTTGTTGGAAGTGGCAGAGCTGGGATTCAAATCCAGGCTACCTGATTCTAGAAGATACAGTCTTTTTTTTTTTTTTTTTTTAAGATTTTATTTATTTATTTAAAGAGGGGAAGGAGAGAGGAAAGAAACATCAATGTACAGTTGCCCCCCTTCTGGAAACTGGCCTGCAGGGAAGCAGTCTGCAACCCAGGCATGTGCCCTGACTGGTGCCCTGACTGGGAATCAAACCACAATCCTCTGATTCGCAGGCCCGTGCTCTATCCACTGAGCTACATCAGCCGGGGCTATTTTTTATTTTTATTTTATTTTATTTTATTTTTAGAGGGGAAGGGAGGGAGAAGGAGAGGAAGAGAAACATCACTGTGTGGTTGCCTCTTGTGCGCCCCCTATTGGAGACATGGCCCACAACCCAGGCATGTGACCTGCATGGGAATCGAACCAATGACCCCCTTGTTTCTCAGGCCAGCGCTCAATCCACTGGGCCACACCAGCCAGGGCTAGAACCTACATGCTTATCCATGCCACCATTACTGCTCCAACCCACTGTGCCAGAGCTGAATTCTGACCCAAGACTCCTGATGTGCCCTGTCAAAACACAGGGGGGCTCAGAGAGGGGACCTTCTTTTTTTTTTAAATATTTTATTTATTTATCTTTAGAGGAGAAGGGAAGGAGAGAGGGAGAGAAACATCAATGTATGGTTGCCTTTCGTGCATCCCCTGCTGGGAACTGGCCTGTAGGGAACTGGCCTGCAACCTAGGCATGTGCCCTGACTGGGAATCGAACCGCGATTGTCTGGTTCGCAGGCCTGCGCTCAATCCACTGAGCTACACCAGCCAGGGCCTGAGAGGGGACCTTCTTGCTCCCGGTCACCTGGCTCGGGAGTAAGGACCGGCCCTCAGGCTGGCCTGGTTGAAAGCCTCGCTGATCTCCACTGCAGGCGGCTAACCTCCCCCTCCTCTGCCCCCCACCCAGGCCCCTCCCACCGCCACCATGCCGTTCGGAAACACCCACAACAAGTTCAAGCTGAACTACAAGCCTGAGGAGGAGTACCCCGACCTCAGCAAGCACAACAACCACATGGCCAAGGTGCTGACCCCTGACCTCTACAAGAAGCTGCGGGACAAGGAGACCCCCTCTGGTTTCACACTGGACGATGTCATCCAGACCGGGGTGGACAACCCAGGTAAGTCTTCCTGGTGGCTTCTCATGGGGACTCGGGGTAGGGGGGGTGGCAAAGGAGGCTGCCCCTCAGGCCTCGATCCCACCTTCCCGGGCCTCAGTTTTCCCATCTGTAAAGTGGGGGCCTACTCATGGGGCTGTTACAACAACCAAAGGAGCCCTTATGCTGTAGAGGCTTGGGATCGGATCTGGTACTTCCCACTCGATAAATACCCACGAGGGTCATGGGAGGCCCCCCCAGGAAGTCCTTTTGCCTCCCCGGGCCTCAGTTTCCTCACCCGAGAACGGGCCCCGTGCTGGGACAGCGGAGGAGCCCACGCTCGAACCTCGCCGGGGTGGCGCCCAGCACCGAGTGAGCGCACGGACGGTGGTGTCAACGGAGCTGCGGTCCCTGCCGCAAGGACACCCGCCAGGGCCAGCGGTGCAGCGTCCAGCCTTAGCCTCCAGCCCTGTCCCGTAATGCAGGAGAGGGGCCCTCGGTCTCCCAGCCACTGTTACCCCACCTGGGAAGCAAGAGGGTCTCGCAGGTCTGGTACTGTCTGGAAGCTGACTCTCTAAGGCCCTGGCAAATTCTAGGTGAAGATTCTATGATTGTTGGGACTCTGAAGTGGTAATAATTTTATTTATTTATTTATTTTGAAAGAATCTTTTAACAATCTTTTGAAATTTCAGATTTATAATTTTATTTATTTATTCATTTATATTTTATTTATCTTTAGAAGGGAAGGGGAGGAGAGAGGGAGAGACATATCAATGTATGGTTGCCTCTCCTGCGCCCCCTGCTGGGAACTGGCCTGCAACCCAGACATGTGCCCTGACTGGGAATCGAACTGTGATTGTCTGGTTCGCAGGCCTGCATTCAGTCCACTGAGCTACACCAGCCAGGGCTTTATTTTATTTTTAAAGTAAAGAGCATTCTTTTTTTTGAAAAAAAGAGTATTCTTTTTTTTGAGATTTTGGTTATTTCTTTATTTTTGAGAGAGGGAAAGGGAAGGAGAGAGGGAGAGAAACATCCAGGGGTGGTTGCCTCTTGCGCGCCCCCTAGTGGGGAACCTGGCCCGCAACCCAGGCCTGTGCCCTGCCTGGGACTCAAACTGGCGACCCTTTGGTTCACAGCCAGAGCTCAATCCACTGACTGAGCTACACCAGCCAGGGCTGAAGTGGTTATATTTTTAGTACCTAGTAACTGGCCCCCAGAGACTCTCCCTTCTCCTTTGCCTTGCCCCCAGTAGTCTCCCCAGGCCCCCAGGCCAGCCTGACCCCTCCCAACCTTCCCTCTCCTTTTACCACCCCTCTCAGTTCTGACCCAGGGGTCTTGAATGAGCCCCTGCTGAGACACACGCATATGCACACGAACACACACATGCACGCATATGTGCACACACGATGTACACGTTCCCAGGAGACCAGGCCTTCCGCGGTTGGGCACAAGCACCTCTAACCTCACTCGACCCCCCCAGGTCACCCCTTCATCATGACCGTGGGCTGTGTGGCCGGGGACGAGGAGTCCTACGAGGTCTTCAAGGACCTCTTCGACCCCATCATCCAGGACCGGCACGGGGGCTACAAACCCACCGACAAGCACAAGACCGACCTCAACCACGAGAACCTCAAGGTCGGCTGCCCCAGGGGAGGGGAGGGGAGGGGAGGGGAGGGGTGGGGGAGAGAGGGCAGAGGACTGAGGTGGGAAGGGCACTCAGAGATGCAGAGAAACACAGGAAGAGGGACAGAGGACAGACAGACAAGGAGACAGAGGGACAGGAGAAGGGAGGGAGGGAGAGAAGCAGACATGGGGCAGAAGAGGGGTATGGAGGGAAACACAGGGGCAGAGGAGATGGGAGGGCGCCAGAGACGGAGAGAGACACGGCAGGGAGGGAGGTGGGGAGACAGGCCGGCGGGGAGGGCGGAGCCCAGGGAAGCAGCGGAGAGCCAGCGGGACCCCGGAGGCCCTGACCCCCCTCCCCGCTGCCCTCCAGGGCGGAGACGACCTGGACCCCAACTACGTGTTCAGCAGCCGCGTCCGCACCGGCCGGAGTATCAAGGGCTACACGCTGCCGCCCCACTGCTCCCGCGGCGAGCGGCGGGCGGTGGAGAAGCTCTCCGTGGAAGGTGAGAGCCCCTCCGACGCCCACTGCTCGGGTCACCCAGCTCCGGCTCTGCTCCTTCCAGGGCACCTCTCTTGGCCCCTTTGGATCCCTGTTTTTCTAAAACACCGGCACTGCCTGGCGAATCCTGGGTGCCTGGTGGGTGCCAGCTGGCGGTGTGCCTCCCGGGGCAGGTCTCGGAGGAGAGCTGCCCAGCCTTGGGGCGCCCTGAGCAGATCCAGGCGGACACACCTGGTTGCGCCAGGGTCCTCGCATCCACCCAGCCGGCCAGCCGGCGCCGGCTAACATCTGTGGTTGATCTGGTTCCCGTGTGGGGAGCTGGGGCTCCCATGATGAATAAGACAGTGTCAGCCTGGCAGGGAGAGGAGAGGAAACACGGGAGCCAGCAAAAGAACGAGATAATTCCCAAATGCCATGAAGCCAAGAAACGACGGGTGTGGCAGAGAGTGACTGGGTGTATGGAGCGGGGAGTTACCTAAAGGAGAAGGAGTTGAGACCTGATTGATAAGAAGGAGCCGACCTTGGGAAGAATCCAGCAGGCAGAATAGCAAGTGCAAAGACCCTGAGGTGGGGAGGAAGAGCAAGGAAGCCAACCGTGGCCGGAGCCGAGTGGGCAAGGAGATGAGCTCAGAGGGGCGGTCGGGTGGGGCAGAGCCTCGGGGGCTGTCAAGAGGGCTTGGCTTTGATTCTGAGGGAGGCGGAAGTCGTGGGAGGCTGTGAGCAGAGGAAGGGCAGGTTCAGATTTACGTGGAGCCCTCTGGCTGCTGGGTGGGGAACAGAGTGCGGGAAGAGGTGGAGCAGAAAAGCTGTGAGGGGTCAACCACAGTGGTCCAGGTGAAGGGCGAGGGGTAGCAATGGGATGGGGAGAAAGAGTATGTTTTGGAAGTGAAACCGTCAGAACTCATGGCATTCTGATCAATGTTTAGCAACAGCAAAACAGCTCTGATTTGCAGCAATTGCCAATTGCCGCGGTGTAAATTCTCCTACCACGGCTGATCTTAAGCTATAATGGGACACCATGCAGAGCTGGGATGAGATACACAGTAGCCTATCATGCTGTGACATTCCCACCACACGGCTTTGATAGATGACGATGACTTCAGGGGAGTAGATGATAGTAAATGTAGCAAAATAATTAGGAATGATAGTTCTGAGCATTTATTACCTTCGTTCTAAATACAATTTAATTTGTAAGATTACATAAATAATTTCTTTAAAGATTTTATTTATTTATCTTTAGAGGGGAAGGGAAGGAGAGAGGGAGAGCAATATCAATGTATGGTTGCCTCTCGTGCGCCCCCTGCTGGGAACTTGCCTGCAACCCAGGCATGTGCCCTGACTGGGAATCGAACTGTGATCCTTTGGTTCACAGGCCCGTGTTCAATCCACTGAGCTACACCAGCCAGGGCAGATTACATAAATAATTTTTAATAATATAGTAGGTGGCATATGATATATCACACCTAGTATACAATACAAATAATGTCTAAAATGTATAGAAATAAATATGAATTATACAAATACATATATCCAAATATATTATACACATAATATATATTTGGTATACATAGGAATGCATACAAGTACTATATATACTATGTTATGATAACTTTCACTGATGGCCCCCACATTCCTGACACTCATTCTCTGCCTTGCGGGCCAGGAGGAGCGGGCACCAGCCCAGAGACGCCCGCGGGTGGACCAGACGTGAGGGGAGGGGAGAATCACGTTTTCCTGAGCACATGAGGTGCTCTGGGCACGCAGGGGAGGAGCATGTTGGAGGGGGCATGAATTTGGGTTTAGGCACAGTATTCAAGCACACACGGGGCCACAGCACAAACCCTTTAGGGGCAGCAGTGTCGGGTCCCCGGGTTCTCCACCACCTGCTTTAGGGGGACCAGGCTGCTGACCCCTCCTTCCTGTGGCCTCTTAGCCCTCAACAGCCTGACGGGCGAGTTCAAGGGGAAGTACTACCCTCTGAAGAGCATGACAGAGCAGGAGCAGCAGCAGCTCATCGACGACCACTTCCTGTTTGACAAGCCCGTGTCCCCGCTGCTGCTGGCCTCAGGCATGGCCCGGGACTGGCCCGACGCCCGCGGCATCTGGTGAGACCCCCGTCCCAAAGTCTCCCCTCCCTCCAGCCTCCTCCAGTCCCCCCACGATCCTCCTCATTCCTCCACCAAAGTCGAGACCACAGTATGTTTCCAAGAACCAGAATGGGACCTCACCCTCCACCCCGGCCAATACTCTGTGGTCTGTGTGACATATTTTGGGAAACTTGGACCAGGGAGGTGTTGGTTAGGAACTTAGACTTGAATGAGAGTGTCTGGGTTCAAATCCCAGTGCTGACACTTACTAGCTGTGTGTCCCTGGGTGCGTTACTTAACGTTTCTCCGCCCCATCTGTAAAGCAGAGGTCCCAGGAATTCACAGCTGTTGCGGTTCTTGTGAGGACTATTGAGTTCATATATGTAAATCACGGAAAATAGTGCCTCCCGTATAGTAAGTTCTCAGTGCTTCTTGGCTATTAGTATGATCGTTCTTACTAACTATGGTCACTAGTTGGGCTTTCTACACATCTTTGAACCCCTGATTCTGATAGTCAAAGATTTAAAAAGGTTGCGCAAAGCTAGGCTTCAAGCGATTTGGAGAGTGGAGGTTCCAAGATTTACAGAGCGGGTGATTCTAAGATTTCAAGAGTTTAAGATTTTTAGGTTCTAATGGGAAAAATAGACAAAAAACTGTACTTGAAAAATAACTAAATAAAATTTAAAAAAAAGATTTTTAGGTTCTAAAGTTTCACTAATTTCAGATTCTGTGATACTGCGGTTTCAAGCGTTGAAATTCTATTTGTGATTCTAAGACCCTGTTTCTGAGTTGTAACAATGTGATAGGAAGATTCTCTAGTCCAGAGACCAGATGTAGGATTTGCATTATATATCAGTCTTGAACTCCAAGCTTCTGACTCTGAGATTCTAAGAGTCTATGATTTAATGTTGTTCAAAGACTGAGATCCTAAAAGTCCTTGTTCCCAAGACTCGAGAAGTCACAGATCCTGTGACGGTGGTCTACAGGTGTAAGCTTTTGCGATTCTGAGGAAGCAGACGCCACCACCTCCTGCCCCTCGACCGCTGCCCTCTAGCGGTGGGTATTTGTGAGAGGGCGGGAAATGGGGTTCCCGTGGAGCTGATTCCTTCGTCTCCTGCCGCACCCCACCCTAGGCATAACGACAACAAGACCTTCCTGGTGTGGGTGAACGAGGAGGATCATCTCCGCGTCATCTCCATGCAGAAGGGGGGCAACATGAAGGAGGTTTTCCGCCGCTTTTGCGTGGGGCTGCAGAAGGTGGGTGCCTGCCCTGGCGACTGACTTCTGACTCCACCCTAAACGCCCCACCCACTACCGAAGGCCCCGCCCCTGGAAACCGGCCCCTCCCACACGCTCCTAACTGCTGCCCGAGGTCACGCCCCTTTCCAACCAGGCTCCTCCCAATACTGCCCAAGCCACACCCCCTCAGGCACAACCAACTCGCTTTCCAAGGCCCCGCCTCCTGGGGAACTCGGTCCCACCCCTACATTCAAGCCCCGCCCTCTCGGGAAATCCTGCTCAGAATCCTGCGTACTTCTGTGTTCTCGGTCCCTTCCTTTCAGAACATCATCCCACCCTGTTTCGCAGCCGCACCTTCTCAGGACCCCGCCCCACCCGCATCAAGCCCTGCCCCTTCGAACTCCGTCCGGGTTTGGTGTACTTGGGGGGCGCCCGCTGACTCTGACTTGACCCCTGGTCCTCTCATCCTACCTCAGATTGAGGAGATCTTCAAGAAAGCCGGCCACCCCTTCATGTGGAACGAACATCTGGGCTACGTGCTCACCTGCCCATCCAACCTGGGCACCGGGCTGCGTGGGGGCGTACACGTAAAGTTGGCACACCTGAGCAAGCACCCCAAGTTCGAGGAGATTCTAAGCCGTCTGCGCCTGCAGAAGCGAGGCACAGGTGCGGCCCGCCTCCCCTCCCACGACGTCCGGGGCGGGCCTTTCGCGGTGGCGGATGGGGAGGTGGGGTATTCCCTCGAGTTCTGGGGTCTGCAAGGGTGCCCTCTGTGAACCTCAGCGCCTTCCTCTGCAAACGGACATCAAAACGCCTTATCTCTTAGGAGTCAAAGTGATATCATCATGGTTATAAAATACACAGTGTGTATGTCCCCGTCCCTCTAGGGGCCTCGGTTTCCCAACTATAAATGGGAAGACGGTCAGGACTAGACCCCAGGCAGCCTGGGGCTCCAGAGCTCACTCTCCCACCCACCACGCTGTATTTTCGCGTTGGGTGGTGGAGGGGTGAGGTAACTAAAGCCGGAGGAGACGTGGGCCGGCAAAAGGCCTTTAGGAGGCTCTGCGTGCACCTCACGTGTGATACAGTGAGCACTTAGTGCAGGAGGCTGTCGGGGTTGGCACGGGCGCAGCTCCTGCACCTCTGCTCCCTTTTCATGCCCCTGCTTTCTGCTCCCGCAGGTGGCGTGGACACAGCTGCCGTGGGCTCAGTGTTCGACGTGTCCAACGCCGATCGTCTGGGCTCGTCCGAGGTAGCGCAGGTGCAGCTGGTGGTGGACGGCGTGAAGCTCATGGTGGAGATGGAGAAGAAGCTGGAAAAGGGCCAGTCCATCGACGACATGATCCCCGCCCAGAAGTAGACTCCCCGTCTGCCTGCCGCCGACTGCTGGAGCCCCAGCCGAAGGGAAGGCCCGGCCCAGTGGAGATACGCCCCTTCACCCCTTGCCCCGCCCCTTTCCCCCGGAGGCTGGCCTGTGCTGGTTCCATCAACCCGGGGCCCTATCCACCCTTCTTGGAACCCGCGGCCCCGTTCCAACCGGAGTTCCAATCAGTGGGCTCCATCCTCTGGGTTCTGGCCAATGAAAATCCTCCCTTACACCCTCCTCTCCTTTCCCCAGAGCTCTGCTCACCAGTAGGAGTTCTGGCTAAGGCAGAGTGCCTTACGTATCTGGAGCTCACGCTTTTTTTCCATTTAAAGCAACAAGTAAAAGCAATGGTGGCCTTAACTTTGTGTGAGATAGTTATTGAGGGGGGAGGAGGCATTTTTGCAATTGGCCGCTGCCTGACCTCGAGGTGGTTTGCCCTCTCTCGGAAAGTACCAGGCACGTTTTATCCCATCTCTAAAATGAGGCAAAGTTAGGATAGAGAGTGTAATCCAAAATTACAAGCCTCGATGGGAAATCTGAAACCCAGAGAGGTGTGGTCCAGCGTCAAATAGCCAAGCCCGGGCTCTCCCCAACCGCGGCTCCTGATCACGCATGCGCAGACCTCAAACAAGGTCCACCTGAGGCAGAAACGCAAGCCAGAAGGGCAGGCAGAGACTTGAATTTGGCTCACAGGCTTTCAGTTTGAGACCTCACTGTGCTCTCCACTGGCCTTCTGTGAGGTCTGACTTCATCCCTTCCGTAGCTGCTTCCAGCCTCTTCAGCCACACTTGCTTTGTTCAAGCAACTGCCGGTGGCTACCACATCTTCTAAAAAGCATTCCTAGTATTTGCGACTCTTCAGGGTCAAACTGTGATGCATACCATTTGCTGAGGCTCATCTTCCCAGTTCTTTCCCCATATTCTTCTCTGTGCTCTTTGGCTCTTTACACCCTGCAATTCCCACCTCGATGTCTTTTTGCTCAGGCTGTTTCCTCCCCGAGACAGGGGCTTGGGGCGGACCATCCCCGAGAAGCCTTTAGGGACTTTGGAGTCTGGTCCCAGGAAGGAGCAGGAAGGGGACACTGAGGCCCAGGAGTTACCCAAGAATTCTGAGATCACTGAAATAGGAGCATTAGGAGAGACCCCAAAGATCTAGCTACGCAGGACCTGTCAGATGCCAGGATGTCCTTTACAAGATCCCCTCACTAATCCCAGCTCCACCCCCAGAGGCCACACAGACCACAGACACTGCAGTGCGGGACAGGCGGAGCCAGTCAAATCCACAGCCCAAGGTGTCTGTCAGCTACCGCGCCCACCCAGCCCACTTTGAACCTCAAACCTTAAATCCACGCCTTCTCTTTCCACCTGCGGTGCTGCCCCTACCTCTTCCCTACTCTTCTGAGCCGTGTCCTTCCCTCACTTCACAGCACAAACCTGTCCCTGCTTCTCCCGTGCTCACAACCTCGCCATGGCTCCCCAGTGCCCTTGGAAGATGATCCAGGTCCCTCTCCACAACCTCCAAGGCCCTGCCAACACCTCCAGCCTCCCGTCCCACCCTGAATCAGATGTCATTTGCTGAGACACATACTCTGTATCTTGCTTCCCACTCAATTATATGTGCTGCTCCGTCACCTAGAACGCAGGTACCACATCCCCTCCCCCCTTGCACTTTCCCATGCCCGGCTAGCTGCTCCTTCCAGGAAGCCTTCCCTGGTTAGAGCAGGCTCCCCTCCGGACTCCCCCATACCAGCCCTGCCCAGTCTGGACCGGGACTGAGGACACAGCTGCCTCCTTCATTGGACTGTGAGCCCTAAGGGGTGGGCTGGGGCTGCCTTCGTCACCATTGTGCGCCCAGCATAGGGCTGGTTTCCCTCCAAGCCATGCATCACCCCCACGGACCCTCTCAACCATGAACACCTTGCAACAGCTCGCTATTCTGGCCTCTGCGGCGAGACGGGAGTGCTCCTGTCCCAGCCCCTGAACTTTTCAACACTGATCACTTTTAATCTCCACCCCTTCATTCCTCACATCCTATCGGCCCCATGAAAAATACAAGGGTTGACCCTACCAAGCCGCAGAGGAGCAACTGATATATGGTGAAAGCTCCTCCCTGCATACAACCCTCCATGGCTCCTCAGTGCCCTGGGATATTAAAGCCAGTTTGCTCACTTTGGCCCACAAGGTCATGGATGAACAAGATCTGCCTCCCTGTCCTCAACTTCTCAGGTTTATTGAGTTCCCACATCCCTGCTGTTCAGAACTCCTTTTCTTATGGGGAATCACCCTTCAAGTCCAGCTCTATGTACAAGCCTGGCCACTTGCACCTCAGTGATTAGTTCAGAAATGGTCACATGACTTATCTGGGACAATTGAGAATCTGCCTTGGAACTTTTGCTGGGAGTTGGCAATGAAAAACGTCCTGCTGCAGAGAGCAAGCTGGAGGAATGAAGGCGGGAAGTGCTGGGGTCACTTTGCCATCAGGGAGAGTCTACTGGATAAAAACGCTAGTACGAAACATGCTGAAAAGCAACAGAAGTGAGATGGCCTGCTGCCTGGACCCAGCCATACCTGAAGTCAGACCCCTGGACCATTAAATAACATAACCAAACATACAGCTTTTAAGTGTAGATGGATTATTAGTTCTAATACAACATCTCTCGCTAATTCTCCACCTGTCCCCAACGTAGCAGCCACACTGGTTACCCACAGTTCTGTGAAGATATACCACGCACCCCTACCTCCCAGGCCTTTACCCAGGGCAGACACAGTACCTGGTCAACTCCTGATCCTTTAGAACCCAGCTGTGGCAAGGTTTCCTCTGCAGTGCCTTCCCCAACCTCCTTTCCCTTTGGGGCCCCGCGAAGCCATCCTTTCTCTAGTGTCTGTGCCGTAACCCACGTCCCCCGCAGACAGGGCGCCCTGCGTCTCCGTCAGCACTGTGCCTGGCACGGAGGCGGCTCTGGTCAATGACTGTTTATTGAATAACTGTACCACTGGAGGAGGAAGTGGCTGAGTCCAATATACCATGTGGGTGAGCACGTGAGTGGGTGAACGGGGGTCCCATATAGGAACTGGGCGCCTTGTGGACGAGGCTGAGTTCTGCCCTGCCCTCTCCCACAATTGTCCTTGACCCTCTCACCCCACCACCCGAATTCTGCAGATGAGGAAACCGAGGCTCAGAGAGGAGAAACCACGGCCCGAAGTCACACTCCTCCTCTTCGTCTCACCTGCAGGCGAGGGCAGGGAAGGAAAACCCCAGGGTCAGCATGGGGGACGGGGACTCTCCTAAGTTTATTGGACAAACAGGCTGCAGGTGAGGGGCAGACAGGAGGGTGGGGGTGTAATAACTTAAAAACCGGAGGCGACAGCGCCAGCTCCTTGAGAGAACTCTGCAGAGGGGAGGGCGTGGGGGTATTTACAAGGATTTGTACAAAGTGTCCCGCACCAGCCTGGGGCGGGGAGGGGGGTTCGAGCATGGGGGGTGGGGAAGGGGAAGGAATCTGCCTCTCTGACCCCCCGTTCCCAGCCCCCCACCCCAGTTCTCCAGTCTTCAGTTCTCAGCAACCCTTCTTCCTGCCCCTGCCCAAGGCCTGATTCGTGAAGTGTTGGGAGGAATGGAAGCGTGTCCTCAGTTTCCCTTCCTGCCCCTGCCCTGCCCCCAAAGTCTCCTCAGGCGCCCCATGGCAGGGTGCGGAGGGACGGGACTGGCTGGAGGCTCCAGGAAGGCACCCGCTCTCCCTGCTGAGCCCGCACTCTTCTCTCAGGCCACGCATCCCGGAGAGGATGCGGCCTCTGCCCCTGAATCCAATTCGGGGACACGGGGATGACAATGGAAGAATCCGCCCCTTGACCCCTTTCCCTCCTGTAGAAGAAGTGAAAGGGACAAAAAAGACGAAGAGGAGGTGACCCAGGGCCGTGGCGGCTCAGAGCTCGAGGTCGTTGGAGATGCGGGTGACGAGGGTGCGGAAGGCCAGGGCGGTGCCCGCCACGCGGCGGAAGAGAACTCCCCGCAGGCCCGGCCGGGGCAGCTGGCAGACCTCCACCTCGAAGTGGGACAGGGGCTCGGGCCCGCCCGCACCCCCGTGCAGACAGGCCAGCAGGAACGGCTGTGGCTGGCGGCAGCGGCAGCGGGCGGCCGCGGTGGCCTGGCGCAGGGCTGCCATCAGGGCCTCGGGTGGGCGCGAGCTGGTCAGCTTCACACTCCAGGGGAATCGGAGCAGCCGGGGGGCGGTTTCCGTTTGATCCCAAGGTAGATGGCAACTGAGGTGGGAGATACGAGAGGTCACAGGTGGGAGAAGAGAGAAACTGCTCCTGCTTCGGGCCGGATCCCTACGGCCCCAACCCTGTCTCCCCCTTTAAACCCCAGTAACAAAGTTCCATCTGGACATACAGACACCCAGACATTTCCCAGCCTCCCCTGAAGCCTTATCTTCAAATTGGAGGCAGGTGCATTTGCACACACGTCACCTCCTCCGGAGGACACTGCGTGCCCTAGCCTCCCGTGCCCCCCATTCGTTCTGTGAGCCGGACTCAGCTGTGACGAGAGCAATGGGGTCTCAAGGGCTGGTGGTGTCAAGACCCGAGGGCCCGAACGACCTCACGGGCCCACCCTGGCCCCCTGGTTTGTGGGAGAGAGAAATTGATCTCTGTCTTGTGCTTTGGGGTCTCTTTCCTCTGGCGGCTGTGCTTGCTTCTTAACGAATACATCCCACTTTTCCCTTGAGGACTAAGCCTCCCCACCCTAGATCTGGGGTTCTCATCTAGAAGCAGTACTGTCACCCCCCAAGAGGTACTTGGACATTTCTGGGGGCTTTCCGATTGTCACAATGTCTAGGGATGTAAGCACCGTGGGCATTTATTATGCTGTGTATGAGGAAGATCAGGGACAATGTGGTCTGCAACGAGCAAGAGGACCCTGCACAACACAGAGACGTCCTCCCTCAAGGCCAAGGGTACTACTTTTGAGAAACACTGCAGATCCAGTCTTTCTGATTCAAATGGGGTCTGCCTCCACCTCTCAGTGCCAAGGGTGAGCGCCACTCAGTTCTGGCCAATGAGAGCATTCCATCTCCCTGGCCACTGTGACTGACTTAAGGATGACCAGATCTGACCAATCAGAGCATTCCACCCCTGTGGCCACAGGCATTGGTTGGACACATGACCAAGCTTCAGCCAATGAGAGTGAGTTCTGGGACTTTGGTTAGAAGTGCCGGGGCAGCTCTTTATTCCCACTGGGAGTCTCCACACTGGTATTGTGCCAAACTAAAGTAGGACTTGGCAAAGTGGAGCGCTGCCTGCTTTTGTAAACAAAGTTTTACTGGAACACACCCACCTCCGTTCACGTTCATATTGAATGTGACT